GTGGTGCGCGGACGAGTCGTCAGGCCGCAGCAGGATGTGGCAATTACGGCCTGTGCGTTCTAATGCCAGTGATATCGTGCCACATGACGCACAATCTATAAAGGCAGTGACTATGATGTTTAGTGGGCGAAGCGGTTAAAATGCGTCATTAAACGCCATTACTAGACTAGACGTAGGCACAGGACCACTCACCATTTCTGGCCCTTGCACCAAGGCGCTTAACATAACGCCTACCTCCACCCTTCAAACGTTCTAATGCCGGCTGTCCTCAGGCTTTTTGGTCTATCGACTGCGTTATCGCGGTCATTATGTCAGAAGGCGACGGGCGAGGAGGACATTCAAAACAAGGCCGATGGTAGGTGTCACAAAGGCTAAGCCCAGTAGAGGGAAGAAACGCCATGAAGAACATAAATTGCCCACATTCCACCCCGAAACCTTCCCCTCTCTAAAGCCTGTACCTGGTCCTAATGGTAAGCACTGTAAGCGGCACACTCACTTGAATGCCCCTCCCCCCAATGAAATGAGCGCTCAAGGGACATTTCCTGGGCAGGTAAAGCAACAGAGAAAGATTATTGTCTCCTGATCACATTTGCAGCCTCAATTGAGAATGAAGCTGGAACCCATCCAATGCCCTAGTAGAAGCTTGATGTGAACATTATCGGCCTCACCTCAGCTGCTGCTGCTGAACCGGTTCCCATATCGAACTCAGAGGACCTTATTGAACGACGATATTACTAACAAATGACTCTTATCCTACCCTTCCTCCAATGAATATATGCAGAACGGATCAGTGATATGCGTTGATGTTTGCGTGATTTAGCACGTTCACTCTACATGCATGTAGCGATAAAGCTACTACATTGGAAACTCATTTTTCACGGTCGTCGGTAGGATATTGGTTTTGTCATCACAGCATGTTGATACCTCCACGATCCCACATTCTTCAGAGCTTTCTAGGGTTTAGCTTAACAAGCTCCTACTTGTAGGAGATGATAATAGGATTTTAACACTGCACCCTTGTCTCTTACTTTAGCGTCTTGCCACAAATAGTTGAAATTCTTGCTTCATCCATATTTAGACTTCTCTTTTCTCTCTTCTGTACTTCGGTGTTCTTGGCTCAAATCATTGCTTGCTCAAGTCGGCGCTCATGTCCCTGGGAGGGCGGCATTCAGAACAGGGCATGTGGTAACCGCTGGTAGGTGACACTAGGGCTTACCCAGGAAAATGGAGACAAACTTCCGAAAGAGCTAAGATCGAATAACTTCGTATCGCGCTCGAGAAGAGTATATCGGATGTGGGACGCAACACACATGTTCGCGCGGGGATGTCGCAATCGGAGGCGCCGGGCAGCTTATGGTCAAAGTCAGATTCTCGAGCGCTGACTTCGAGCGGTCCGGAAACGGCACCACATTCTTTGATGGATAGCTCTAGCCTTACAAAGGGAAGAAAATTGACTCACGAATGCGCCTCAAAAGCATTAATTCGAGTAAAAACGTCGATAGTCAGTTGTAAATTGGCGAGTTGAGCCTTGAAACCGGGACTCCTCTTCCCCTTTGGAATGAGGGAAGGAGCTGTCCGAACTAGCTGGCTCAAATGCGGCTGCAATCGCATATGCACCAATACGAGCAAAAACATATGCATCAGTGCCAACAAAGAAATGCGATAATTAAATGAGTTAAAGGAATCCTTCACGGAAAAATCATGATTCTATTTCAGCCATAAATCACTGGCTTGAGACTCATTATCCACGATAAGAATGAAAAGACAGAAATATTGCTTTTGTTTTGGTAAAAAATTCAAAAATCGAAAGGGCTGCTACGCGTTCATGTTACGTTGCGACATCGGCACAAAATGCTGGCCCCGACGGAATGCTTCAACCTAGGGGTTTTTCCTGGGACTGCCTTCCTGTTAGGGCACTCTCTGGCCTGTCTGCTTTATTGCATTCACAGTCTTACGATCAAGGCCAACTTCTTTCCATGCCTCGCTTTGGCTCCGCCCGAATTACCTTCGATTGTCCATAGAGTGTAGTTTTTGTACGTTTGTTTCTCTTCGGAAACCGAATCTTCATGCGTGAAACTTTGTGTGCTGTTTTCCAGTGATCACAACTGACACATTCATGTCAAGAAAGAATGCAAGAATTTTCCGCGAAGGATTCCTTTAGCAACTAAAACCAACTAGACAAAAAAAAGAAACCATTCATTTTGATACGTACAGTAACAAGCAATCGCGCAAGGATCCGCTTCGAAAGCTATCGCGATCTCTATAGATGGCAAAGTGGATTCGTTGCGGCTATTTGGATGCGATTGTAGCCGCGTTTCTTGCTACGTACGCCCACTTCGAAGGCGTTTGCAGCGGCTTTACAAGGTGAGATTTTTGTTTGGTGACACTCCATATGTTCTCGACTACGGCTAGCGCATTATTTCAACACCATTTGTATCGAAGGTAAGGACTTTGCCGGGACCGTTGCTTCAAGTAGGCACGTCCTACTTACGCTTCACGTCCAAAGTTTGGAAGACTTGAAGTTCGAGGAACAATTGTGCAACTTTGAACAGTGAAATGAAAGACTTTATTAAGAGAAAATACTCGATATCGGAGTTGGGGTAGGCGTGTCACCGGAAGTGACGTGCACTTGATAGAAGTGCGTGGATAAGCTGCTTCCAACATACATCGCTGGCTATCAGCAAAGCATGCTGGCAACAGCTATATCCACGCACTTCTATCAAGTGCACGTCACTTCCGGTGACACACCCACCCCAACTTTCGGATATCGAGCTTTATCTCGTCAACAATGTACATTGATAGCCCACTTCTCTGAGCTACTTGCTATCTCCTGCCTTGTACAAATCAATGAGCTTCTGAAGAACTTCCCGCTGGTTGACTCCTGAATTTGTTCATGAGTCATACCATTTACTACCTGACTAGAAGACATATACAAATATCTACCAAAGCGCTCTGTCCTGTTCTTGCTTAATTTCGTAAGGCTCACCTTGAAAAACATACCGGTGCGCTAAACAATATTCCACATGTGCCTCCCACAGTAATACCAAAGAAGACGTACAACAGTAGCCGATCAATGATCATGGCGACGTATTTCCAATCATCGCGATACTAAAAAGCACATCAATTGAAGGCATTTCGCAATTTCTGAAACATCTTGTTTTGATCTGCATCTGCTGTGTTTGTTATGCTTCCATTTCTACTGAATGGTTGCAATTTCCTTTTTTTTTTCTTACGTCTGCCTTATGCGTCGTAATAAACATACATACATACATCTCATTTTCAATTGTCATTAGGGCCCGCATGGGAGAGTTTGCGCCTGCGGGTATTCCTAGGCCATTGCGAAGAACCAGTCTTTTGCAGTCGGGATTCCGGAGGCCCGGGTCGCGATCGAGTTGGTCTCTTATTCTGATGCAAAATCGAACAAAAAGGGCGAATATGAACATTAGTGGATAGCACAAAATTTACTGTTTCTGGTTTATGAGACTATTTCAAGATTAGGAGTGAATGTCTGCGTGGCGCGTGCACTATCTTTCGGCTTTCTAGGCTTCGACGGAGGCGAGAATGCAGAAAAATAGCTAATAAAGCTCCTGACCATCCTTCGCGTGTGGCTTCAAGAGCAAAGTATAGGAAGAATACCACACAAAAAGAATCATAGAAAACACTGAAATTTGTTGTGAGGTTGAATGTAGAACGACGGAAGGGCACGGCGCTGCGAAGAGAGGGAACACGCGACAATGCAAAGTAGGCGAGGGAGCCCAGAAGCCACCGCTTCGAAAGGCAGCGGTCGCAGCGGTCAAGTGAAGACATATGCCGCCCTTCAGGTCGTGACAGTCTGTGGTTAGTGGTCCCACTACCTTAGCCAAGGACATAAAACCTCTACGGATATCGCGACTCATGCCTTCAAATGATAACATCACTGCTGTTGTAAGCCTTGCAAATGAATGGTCAGTTTTTGGTGCTGTCCCCATGAAGATCCAGCCCATCCGAAATAGACGGTCACCAGTAACTTAGAAGTTGATAGACCTTGTAAATGGAACACAGGCTGCTTAGCGGTTATTTCGAAGCAAATCCCCTGACGAAGCAAAGGAACCACCGTGGAAATGGACAATGGGCCATCGAAGAAAAAACACTCACCCGTTTGTGTTCCTCATCTTGTTTGAGGTGATCTGTGATGTATTCGATAGCATCTATCGCAGAGAGGGCATCTGGCGACAACGGGTGATAGGGCGCAGTTGTCGGGTCTTGAGGAATTTCAGTAGAATCAGTGACCACTTTCGCTGAGGCAGTCCTGAAAGTTGCTGTTAAATAAGACACGGTTAAACCTCGATAACCTTTGGTATCTGAGAACCTGCTGTCAGCGCTCGGACAGAATGGGTGGTGCTTCGCCATTTTGAATGTGAATTGTCCTATTCCGGGCAGCTGGGCCACCTCCTTTTTCGGACGAGGTTGCGCCAATAACTTTCGGAAAGCAGATTTTGGTCGTCGCATGCACATCATGAACGGCATCCACTAAAAATTCAAGGAAAAAATCCATAAAATCGATTATTGATAAGGCAACAATAGATAAACTTCGGAACCTACCTCCAAGAAAAGGGTGCGTACCCATGATGGCATTCGATGAGTTGTTGGACTACGGAAATACACATTGATAATAATTACCGTAACCAAAATCGTGATCACGTTGAGCACAAACGTGAGCAGAAGGTATCTAAAAACCATTCTACACATATACTAGGTTGTTCGAAAAGTTTATTTTGTAAATATTTCGTGAAGAACCAACCTTAAGATAAGAGTTATGCGCCTTAATGTGGTTTAAGGACAAGCAATTAAGGACAGGAGATCTGACGTATTGCCAGCCAATCCTAAATGCAGCCGTGAAGCCAACGGCCCCCAACCCCCACATGACCCCACAAGGCAAGGGCGACTAAGGCTGAGCTGGAGCAAATTTTCGGGATCCTATGGTTGCACGCCCTGCTTTTATCCCGACTACTGTCCTTCTTCCCCCTTCAGCCTCCGCTGCAATAAAAAAAATATTAAGAAGGAGAGCGAGGTTAGGACGCTCGATGACTTTTTTTCGCAGCTCCAGGCCTTCTAGAAGGAGTTAGCCGACAATATGCTCGAGCGGTTGATGTCGATTCGTAGTCCGGTGATGTGCTAACCCTCCTTCGGATCTCTAGACAAAAATGCCTTTGAAACAGAAAATGGTACGGAGGAGAGTTCCTTCCCGACCAACCTGATATTTCTGCAAACTCTTCTCGCATTAATTTCAGTCATGCGTAAACAGTGGGAATAAAACTGGCGAATGATCTCAAAAAAAAAACTTTCTTAAAAAACTGGGAATACTGTGACAATAATAATGGTGACATAATAAAATATTACTCAATCCAATAATCATTAGAACCAGTTCAAAATAGAAAAGAAAGCGGAACGACCATAAACTCAGTATACTAACTTTGCCATCAGCGGAATAGTACTTGACGTAGGTGGAAGGATTTTGGATACGAGCAGCAGAAAGACGACGATTGAAAGTAATACGTAAGTTGTTAAGGTCATTTTCTCACCTGAACAAAAATAGGTCAAATTACTAAGGTCAAAAATGTCGAAATCCGACATTTTAAAGGGCACACTCCTCGATATCCGGATGGATCGACCTTCAAAGTGGGTAGAATGAGCTGTTGCCAACATCGCAGATGTGTCATCCTCCCACCTCAAAAAGCGAGACAAGGGCGTAGGGCCTTCCCAATACCTCTTCGAACGCTCCCATTTCTATTCAGTTTCTGCGAGTTACCAGTCGTTCTGCACTCGTTCCTGTTCTTCTTCGCCGCGCTCGGTGTCTCATTGCCTAGCCGAAGTTTCCAGAAGTGTGAGCTCTATCGGACCAATTCGTTTCCCTTGTTCTTCACAACCGGTTCTTCTTTCACTTCAGCTTTCATTTTTTGCTATTTGAACGAAGAGTGTGCCATTAAGTCATTATTCATGCTACTGTACGTGGTATGAATGTACTACTTCGACGGGAGCCAACAACTATTACCTGAGTCAGTTGGAAGGAAAAACACTGTCATACTTAGAAACGTCATTAATACTGTAGGAATAATCAGAACAGTGGTGTAGAACAACGTTTTCCTTCTGAACAAGAAAAATTAAAACTACAAAGTGCAAAACGATAACCAGAGTCAAATAGGAGCGACTCAGCATGTATCAGCATTAGAAGAGTCGTAATTCAAATGATTTTGGAGCACGACCGCAAGCTGCGCCACCTTCTTGCAGAATTTCAATAAAACTTCTAGGGAAGTTTTGCGCAAGACAACTAAACGATTTTTCCCTGCCGGGGTTCCTCACCACTGGACATGCTAGAAACAATTTCCGTGGTGCTTTCTACGACTTCCCTTCCAAAGGCGACTACGTAGATTACTCCAGAACTATTAGAACTAAAAAACAAGGTGGAATAATTTTTCTCGGTAAATGAAGGTTAAATGCAAACCCCGGGATTGGCCCCACTAGTAGGAGGAGGATACACCACCAGGGAATTTCAAGGTCTGTATCTACCTAGATCACTCCAGCTTCGTCGCTATACCTTACGGGCCGGCAACCATCGAACCCAATTTCCAACGCTCCCCACCCACCGCGAGAGGTGAGATCAGCGTGCATTGATGTAAAGATCAGCGTGCTCTCTCAAATGACTTGCTCTCTCGCGTATTTTGTCTTCTTTGACCGACCTGGTACCACATCCGACCCTTTTGAAGGGTAAGACCTTAGTTTCAGCGTTCGTTAAGATTCCTCTTCTTCTTCCCAATTTCAGAGCGCTCCGCAGCTAAAGTATCACTGCAGAGCGCTGATAGCACTAGTTCAATCCCAGAGTTTGCCTTTAAGGAAAAACATAACTTCCAATTTTGAACAAACAGCTACGTTCCAACCTGATTCTCACTTGAAACTCGATTCGACTCCTCTTATTCACCAATGAAGCAGGAGCATCCATCACATCCCAAATAGAGGAAGGTGCGTACTCGGACAAATCCACCCATTCGGCTTGCTCGAACTCAAGTTTGATCTCGTTCTCATTGTACTGCAGCAGTGCCGCCATGTACTTGTAATCGTCAAAAATTACCAATCTGGCAGAAGACACTCACAGTCCACGAGCCAAACACCAACGTGCACACCTGTTCATCGAACGGGAAGAACTCTACATCTGAAGTACTGCCATTAGCTTTAGTAGTGCTGTTTAGATGCGAATGAACTTGCTCTGTGCTATGAGGGACAGGCACTATTCAACTATTACAACCCCAAAATCTCAAAATTTTATTTTTCGTCGAAACTTTGCACATAGGGGTAATTCGGTGCCCTGATTACGAAAATGACATTCATTTTTGGCGATGGCGCCATCTGGCGCCAGTTGGCGTCACCTTGTCACGACACATGTTTTCACCAAATTCGATGTAAAGTTCTGGGTAGGGGTTATTTGATGTCCTGATCTACGAATATGACATTCGTTTTTGACATTGCCGCTGTTTACGCATACTTTCCCGCTTTTCTGGGCTCTCTCACCTATACATAGCGCCTTGGACTAACGATTAAAAGCTTAGGGGATAGGGAGACCCGGGATGGGTAAATGAGGTACCGTGCGTTGAAGATGAAGCGTGTGGAATCACAGGGTGGGTGGGTTACTCACACGTAACCCTCCTTTCCCCTAGAGCTTAGTCCTGATTGCGATCTAATCGCTAGGAGCGCGCAGACGAACGGAATAAGGGCCCAAATGGAGCTAGCGTCAAAAATGAATGCCATATTCGTAATCAGGACACCAATTACCCCTACCCAGAAGTTTACATCGAATTGGGTAAAAACATGTGTCGTGACAAGGCGTCAGATGGCGCCATCGCCAAAAATGAATGTCATTTTCGTAATCAGGGCACCGAATTACCCCTATGTGCAAAGTTTCGACGAAAAATAAAATTTTGAGATTTTGGGGTTGTAATAGTTGAATAGTGCCCAGTTCATTATATGGGTTACATTACGGTGTAAGCCTCAAAGTTGTATTAGTTATTGAGTGAAACATTTGACAAGTGCTGTCTTTTTTGTTTTGCTTGTTATATCCTTCAATGGACGTTGTGAATGGCTAGACACATGATTTCCCGTGAGTAGATGAATAAACAAACAAAAAGGTAAATAAATAATGATCAAATAGGACAGACCGATGATGCATGAGCTTTTGTAAATTGCAGGCGGTACCCAGAGCATGTCACCATGATAGTTTATGACAACATTACACATGAACGACACCTCGTAATTACCATCGGCACTTAAAGACAAATGGTTCTGATGGTTGACTAGTAAAAACTGGAACAACATAAAATTGCAGTGGTGGGTCGGGAAAAAATTAACCTGGAATCAAAAAGTTCAGAAATTGATCTGGAAAGTCTTCCTAGGAAAATTTAATGAAACGACTTCCTTATTGAAAATGGCAGCTGTCTCAAATGTGCTATATTTATAAAAGGATAAAAAAAGGATAAAGCATTTGCCGTTGATCAATCCCTTTTTGGGATGCGGCACGCATTCTACTTCCATTTGTACATTCGCAGTGGCGTTTGAATGCGATGTGGCCTATACAATGACTTGCGGGGGCCAGCCGATGTTCAAGTCAGTGTTTTTATCCTCCCAGACAAGTCTGGTACCAATTAACCGACCCCGGAGGGATGGAAGGCTTGGTTGGCCCGGGCGACTCACGACCCAGGATTTGATCCCCGGACCGCTCGCGTGGTAAGCGTGCCACTTGCCACTACACCACTTCCGCCCTGAAACGTTGAAAATTTGAAAAACAAAACAGTTTGAAATTCCTTCTCAACGGTTTGGATTTCACCAACATGTTCAGTTCTCTTCCCAAGCACAGACCCACATTAGTATCCCTCATGGTGTACCCATAACCCATGGGGTACACAGGCGTCACATGGGTCACGGCTCCAGATGTCATCAGCATCTTCCGTCGAAGTGTGGGCGGAAGTGGTGCAGTGACAAGTGGCGCGCTCACCACGCGAGCGGTCCGGGATCAAATCCTGGGTCGTGAGTCGCCCGGGCCAACCAAGCCTTCCATCCCTCCGGGGTCGGTTAATTGGTACCAGACTTGTCTGGGAGGATAAAAACACTGACTTGTACATCGGCTGGCCCCCGCAAGTCATTGTATAGGCCACATCGCATTCAAACGCCACTACGAATGTACAAATGGAAGTAGAATGCGTGCCGCATCCCAAAAAGGGATTGATCAACGGCAAATGCTTTATCCTTTATCCTTTATTGAGTTGTGGCAAGTTGCACTT